TAATAAGTGATAATGACTATCATAACAATCGGGAGGTCTTGATTTGGGTCATACCTGTCATAATTTTTTTTTGAAGAACATGATAACAAGGGTGCTTGGAGCTAGTTGACCATTCGCCTACAAAACCTCTAGCAATCATATTAATTACCCTTCTTAGTTCTAGAGCAGTTTTTAGTTGGTTAAGTTGTATGAATGCTTGATTGTTGTTTTATTCATTCTTTTGTTCGTAATATCCTTGCTTTCATCCTTAACAATCGTGTCCTCTTCCTCGGTAACCTCTGCAACCTCATCCATTGTTTTGTCAAATGTATTGAGCTAATTGTCAGGGCTGAATGAACTCTTCTACTATAATGTCTCAAAAGTTCGAGCAATCTTCTATATTATGACCATAAGTTTAGCGATATGTGACCTCACAAGAGGCGTTTAAAGGCGTGTAATTGTTATACCTTACTTGCCTTGTGCGCTTGTTGGCTTGATTTTTTTTTCTATTACTTGGTTGCGCTCTTTTTCTCTCTTCTCTCTTAGTTTGGTATTTTCCTCCAACCGGATGTAGTTTGATGCTTGGGTTCTCAACTAATTCATGTCTTTTGTCCTATTGAGATATAGGCTTTCTAAACATGACCCTTATGCAACCCGATCATCATGGTGTGCATCACCATTGTGGGCTCCAAGTTTGGTATTATGAAGTTGACAATGGCGAACCTCTTTAGGAACTTATGCAAGGACTCCTTCTTCCCTTGCTCGATATTCTCAAAAGCCATTGAATCGGTTGTATGGTGTCGGTCCGTTCTAAACCAAGCTCTAAGCCTACTTACTAAGTCCTTGAAAAAATGTATCAATTTCTTGGGTAAACCATAATATTGAAGGACAAATCCTTTAAGCGTGGTAGAATATCTTACATTTGAAGGAGTTTTTGTTTGAGAATACTTTGATATGAGTGTATATAGTTAGATATGTTTCTCGAGATCTGATGTCCCACTGTAAAAGTTAATGGGAGGTAACCTCCAATGTTAAGGGAGAGACTCGTCTAGTAAACCGGCTACTAAATGATGCTCATACCTGGCAGATTGTGATTGTATAATTATTTGAGTGGGTACTCATTTGATGGTGCTTAGAATACAAGTGAGATTCCACATCTGTTGTTGTCTTCGATCCGTTTTCAGAATGCTTATTCCAATCATTGTGAATGACTTCCTTAAGTTAGATGTTCAAACCCTCGCCACTCTATTACAAAGTACATTGCATATCTCAGGCACTCTCTTGGCATTTGTAAAAACAAACTAGTATTTTCCGAAACTTTTTTGAAGATGAGTACTATGCTTTAGCCTCCACAACATGTGAAATCCAATGATTACATTATCTAATAGACAATTTTAAGTTACCTCATGCCAATCAGTACTAGTTTTTAACAAACTAATATTATGACCAAAACTTTGTCTCATTTCCCATTTAATTCTCATTGTTTTAAGTTAGACATATTAAATATCCATTTTGAGTTTGAAGGGAACACTCAACTTGATAAACTTATTAATAATTTTTTACATGTGTATTCAATTAACTTAATTAATAACGTTTCAACTCCCGATTGATCAACTCGATCAAAAATACTTAATTGTAAGATTCATGACTCTTTATCATCAATATTGTCCTTGATCTTTTGTTAAGCTCAAAATCTCATTACCATTTTTCTCTAATCACATTTACATATATTGATTCCATGTTAGCTTGAAATACTCACTTCTTTTTTCTTTTATAATAACACAACTCCCTTGCATTTTTTCTTCTTTCCTTGCCTCTTCTAATATGTACATGTAATTTTTTCCTAAATATATGTAACCACGTGTATTGTCACGTGATAGTCATGTTAAATTTTAAGTTAATTTTAATTTTTTTAAGGATACTTAATTGGTGGATTTTATCACATGATGGTTTTATTCATAGAAAATCAAGTGACTCCCTTAATCAATCATAATATTTTTTTTCTCTTACGTTGGTGACCTCATAATAAGTTCAATTTGACTTAAATTTTTACTAAATAATTATCTAAGTCAAATATAAAAAATAAATATGATTTGTTTTAGTTTGATTTTAATTTAATACAAAATTTCAATATAAATGTTTTATGATTTGATTTACAACTTTTGTTACTAAAATATTTTTATATATTCTAAAAAAAATGTGAAATATTTTTTATAAATAAATAAGATTAAAAAAATTATATGTAAAATACATAATTACATAGTTTTGGTTAATCGTAATTAATTTAAAATATATATCATCATTATATTTAAATATAATAATAATTTTAGTTTAATTTAATTTAATTTGATTTTATTATTAATTTTCATTCTCAAACTAAAATAAAAAAGAATTAACAAAACTTTGATTTTAACTTATTTTTATTAATTTTTTATCGGTTGGATTTTCAACATCTATGTGTAATAATACTTATTTTATATTGATTTTTGTAACATTGTGTAGTAACGTAACTTTTATTAAATTTGAATTTTATATATGTATTTTAAAATTGATTATTTTTTTCTTTTTTTGATCTTTTATTGGAGGAAAACATTTCTAAGTTCGCTTGCTGTTGCCATTCTTTAATGTATTTATTGAGGATGTTGATGGTGAGGGATGTGTAAGAAAGAAAAAAAAAAAGGTGTTTGGTTGCTTTATCTAATTTTTAATTAGTGGTACTTGAAATTTTTTATACGTTAAATATTTTATTTTTAAGACGTTAAATATTTTATTTTAAAAAATATTTCATAATATTTTATAATAATATTATTAAAGTTAATATTTTTAATTTTAAAATTTTATTATATCATATACATTTTAATAAATTAAGAAAATAAATTATATATAAATTATTTTTTATTTTCAATGCTAAACAATACAAAATTCATTAGCGGAACACAGTCCACATTCGCTCAATGCTAAATTGGTACACCTCGCATTTTTACTTTCTATAATTCTACCAAATAAAGTTTGTGGAAACATAATATATTTTGATTTAAAGATATGTTTCACATGTGTGTATTGTCACATGCTAAGTGATTCCATGTTAAATTTTGAGTTTTTTTTTTTTTTTGGTAAGAACATTCAATCAGTGGGTTTTATGTCCAGCACCGTGATTTTATTCTTAGAAATTGGAGTGACTCCCTTAAACAATCACAATATTCGAGTTAACATAGTTGAGATAGATATATGTCTTACACTGTGTTTATCTATTAATGAGTTTAGAGTTGTTTTACCATCATAAAACCTTCTAAACATACAATAGTGGTATGTTAGAGAACATCTTATAATAAAGTTTGACTCAAATTTTTATTATAATTATTCAAATCAAACATAGAAATAAATATGATTTATTTTATTAAAACCTCAATAAAAATATTTTACGATTTGATTTACAACTTTTGTTACTATAATTTTTTATATATTAAAAAAAATATTAAATATATTTTATAAATAAAGATAGTTAAAATATAAAACTACGTGTACAGTATATATTTTCATAGTTTTGGTTAATTAGTAAATAATTTTAAATATATATCATCATTGTATTTAAATACAATAATAAATTTGATTTTATTATTAATTTTCATTCTTTAACTAAAATAAAGAAATTAACAAAATTTTAATTTTAATTGATTTTATTTTTTTATCGGTTCGATTCTCAACATATATGTGCAATAATATTTATTTCATATTGATTTTTTTAATATTTTTGTAACTTTTATCAAAATTGATATTATATATATATATATATATATATATATATATATTAAAAAATTGATTAATTACTTCTCAAACTTTAGAAATATATAAATATATGAATTTAATATTTTAGGTAATAGCTTTTTTATTAGAAAATAAATTTATATTTAAATAAAATATAAAAATAATTTATTTTTTCACTATTTTATTAACTTATTATATTAAAAAATTATTATTAAATATTAGTTAAAATTAAAAAATAAAATATTAAAAACAACTTTAAAATAATACAAAACTAAGGTATATAATTTCATTCTTCAATAAGGACATGTACATTTATCATCATGTCAAACGAAACCAAACTCCACAGTAACATTTTTTTTTTTATGTGGGCTAAACTATGTAGTATGTTATGCATATAAATTAGAAGACCTAAAACTTATTCTTATTATTTTAAGGAATAAGATCATAGCACTTACTTTCTATAAGTTGTTGCTTTGCTAATTTACATACTCACTTTAGTGTTAAGATGTCAACTTAGATATTATGCCCACTGTAACTCCAACTTGGTCAAACTTTTCATTCATCACCAACCTAAAACAGACCTAGCACACATATTAGAAAGCTCAACTCAATGTCTCTTTCACACAACCCAATCTTTATATAGACATATTTTTAACAGTGCAAAGTTTTTTTTATTATTAGTTTTGTTTAATCTTCAATTCAAGTCAATCTAGACATATTTGGTGTTTAGATAAAACATTAAAACATGTTATCTTCTATATAAGTATTCCATAAAACAGATATTAAAAGAAAGATGACATGTTTTATTGCATTAAGTGAATAATTTTAAGTTATAAACAGAATAATTTCTCTAATAATTTTATTAGTAACTAAACAAGAGAATTTCTGAAATTTAATAAAATAAAATAGTATGTTTTCTTTCCTTCCCACTTAACCTCAAAGTAAAACCAGAAATCTCTTTCTTTCTCATTCTCTCACAACCTTTTTTTTCTTTTCCAACCAAAATCATTGTAACAGTTGAGAGTAGTATTTGTTGGGCCGGGTTGGGTTAATAGAAAGATAGACGGGTGCTGCTCAGGTCTAACAATGGACAGTGCAATCCTGGAATGACCTGAATCCATAGCTTATATATTCATTCATTCATTCTTTTTTTCTTTCATATTCATTCGTAGTTATAAATAATTCCAAAACAATCAAGAGGTGTCGGTTTTAAAAAGAGTGAACAATCTCTTTCTCTTTTCTTGGCTTCTCCTTCCATGGCATCTCAGGCTAGCCTTCTCCTTCAGAAACAGCTCAAAGGTATATTTTTTTTTTCTCTCTCTCTTATTTCTCCATTTCCTCTTTGCGAATCCACAAGCAAGAGTAGGACCATGTTTGGCGTGGATTCTCCGCGATGTTCTGATTGTCCTTTACTTGCAGATCTTTGCAAAAACCCTGTCGACGGGTTCTCTGCCGGTCTGGTAGACGAAAGTAACATTTTTGAATGGAGTGTCACCATAATTGGACCGCCGGATACTCTATAGTAAGCAATCTCCTTTTGATTTGTTAGTTTATGCTTTTGCTTTTGAAGACTCTCCCATGCAATTGATTCTTGATCATTAATTTCAAGTTTGAATTTTTGGGTTTTGGGCTTTGATTGATTTTGTTTTGTTTTTACTCTGGGGTTTGGTCACGGGGCGGAGATTTTTCTCTGAACGAAGATCGCACTTTTAATTGTTCATTTGATTTGAACTTGGACACTTTTATTGAGCTTGTTTAGTGCATTTAGTGCCTACCCTACTCGGGAGAATTCATTGCTGTTGTTATGGATGTTATTTCTTCAATGTTTAATTCTTTTTATTTCTCTCTAATTGATACTTTTCCCAAATATTGAGTTCGTTTGATTTCACAGGGCTTTGGTTCCCTTAGTTAGTTTTAGAATTTTGCTGACTACTACCTGTTTTCATTTGGATGAATTTCTTGCAGCGAGGGGGGTTTTTTCAATGCTATAATGAGTTTTCCATCCAATTACCCAAATAGTCCACCTTCTGTAAAATTCACCTCAGAGATATGGCACCCCAATGGTTAGTTTATTTTCTCTAATTCTTTTTAAATATTTTTTTTTTTACCTTATTCAAACTACATGAAAGCTGTTCAATATGCAGTGTATCCTGATGGTCGGGTTTGCATATCTATTCTTCATCCTCCTGGTGAGGATCCAAATGGTTATGAGCTTGCAAGTGAACGTTGGACACCTGTTCATACCGTATGTGAAAATATGAATTAATCATCATTTTTTGCACCAACGGTTTGTCTTGAATATTGATGACTAAATCAACTCAGTGGTTAAATTTGACATATGTTTATCTTGAATACATCCAAATCCAGCCTACTTTTGTTTAATAATATAGATAAAACAGAAATTGTTGGAATTAAAATTAAAGTGATGTTTCAGATTCCTAGATCTGGTATGATGCAAAGCAACTGCTGTATTGTTTTTCTCTGCTATTTGCATATTATGCCTATTGCTGAAGAGTTTACTTATCTATGTTTTACTGCCTCATTGGCATGGCATGGCATTGAAATGCATTTTAAGTAGTTAATACCTTTTAATCAATTGTAAATAAAGTGCAACGTCAAGATATTGAAAGCATAATCTTTCTAACTTTCATTCCATAATGGAGCATCTACATGTTAAAAATTTCAATCTAACACCCTTACTGTTGGAGATCAGTGTAGAGTTAAGATTAATGGAGACACTAGGAGTATTGTGTTGGAAGGAAAGAGTGGTAATAGAATATTAGAGTATAAGGATTTATTTATAGAAGGTTCCTATCTTCAATAATTCAAAGTCTCTTTTAAGCAACCTTTTGGGCTTGAGAGAAAATACCTAACATGAAATATTTTAAGTAGAAGGAGTTTTATATGTGGACCATTCAGAGGTATAGATCTTCTACAATACCTCGGGCATTTTCTTTGATATGCTAAGGGAGGAAATGAAGGCAAAATTACAGTTGCATCTAGCCAGGACGTTAGTAGAAATAATGAACAACATCTAGATGATTGATGAGAAGAATCTAGAACTTACAAATGAAGGATTAAGTCCTGCATTTGGAAATGGAATTACTTGCTTACTTTTTCCATCTTCTTGAACAATATTGGTGGAAACGGAATCTTAGGTGATTTCATCAAGGGTTTCACAAAAAATGTTTTAATCAGAAATAGGGGTCTTACAACAGACAAACACTGGACCTAATGCATCTTTTTGTAATGGGGGTGGTCAGTTTAGAAGTTTGTCAGGATCTGAATTTCAAGAGGTGAGAAGAGGTGTGTGTTTTTTATGTTATGAAAATATGGGTCTGGATATTTATAAAATTAAACCATATCAGGTGTTGGTCTGCTGTTGGAGACAGAAGAAGAGCTCACACGAAAAGCTCAAATTTTTTATCTTGGAAATTCATATAACAGAAATCTTCTTTCAATTTAAGCATCTTCTTGGGAAAAATAAGGATGGACATGGGTGTAATTTTGGTGTGAAAAAAGTAGAGGACTGCTATTTAGCGTACCAAGAATTGACGGAAAGGAAAAGTAAGGCTTTATGCTTTAGGCTTGGAGAAAAATTATACCCCTTACATCAAATCTGCAGAGAAACAATTACTATTGTTAATTTTGGGGGATAATGAAACCCTGAACGGAGATTGAGAAGTAAATGCTATTGAAGTGGATCAAGATAATGTGGAACAACCAGTTTCCAACATTTGGCCTTGGGGACAAGCCTGATTTTTCAGCAGGCAGTAAGGATGGAAGTTGAGAGCTAGGGCAGTTATGACAGTTACTGCAGAAATTAACTGCTGTTACTTATGTATTAGGGCTATATATCTGATAGTGTGTTGTGTACTTAGGCAGTGTGAAATTATTTTTCAGTAAGTGTTGTATCTTGGACAAGTGTTGTATTGTGAGATTTGGGCATCCAATTTTATATTTTATTTATGCATTGATGTTTTATCAATTACCAAGCTACCAGATACTACGAGTTTAATTTGCTACGAACTATCATGTTGTAGTTACATCTTTCAAGTTTATCATTAGTCTCTGCCGAATATAGTTTGAGTAAAAGGATCACTAGTGGTTTGAGTATTTCTAGTTTGGGATGGCTTGAAGAAAACTATAAAGTGAAAGACTAAGATTTGAGTCAAGAGCTTTTCAAATGTTTGTAAAGATGTCAAATATTTAATGTGTCAGAATTATTTATGACTTTGATTATTGGTTGACCATTAATAACTTGTTTGGATGTCCTTTCAAAATGGTATTGCTTTTTATTGACCACTAGCAAATTTATATACCTGTCACTTGTGAAGTTAAAGTTTTTTAAATCAAATGTATTAATATATCAATATATATGCTATCTTGCAGGTAGAGAGTATAGTGTTGAGTATCATATCAATGCTTTCCAGCCCCAATGATGAATCTCCTGCAAATGTTGAAGCTGCAGTAAGTTTGACCATCGTTTCTTATTGACTAGATTGTTTTACTGCAGCCTACTTGCTTTCCTTCATATGGTACTTATTTGTATCGTAAAAAAGAAAATGTGACCATGACTGTCATTAGATGCTGCATAGTTAACTGGAATAATAGATTGTCTATTATAGTTATTTCTATCTTATTTGGGACTGTAAACCAATTGCCTTAGTTTACTTCTCATCCTGTAATTATTTCAGTAGCTATTATTAATCATGTCTTCAAATTTTGATGAATAGTCTCCTGGATACTTGAGATTGATTGCTAGTTGGTGTAAGTGGTGAGATACTGAGTTAAAATGTTGAACATGGCTTTTTTACTACTTCAATTGTTAAGCAAAAGTGAACAAAAGAAAGTGTTTCCTTCTCTAAGTATGAATGATTCCCACAACTATCTACCTCATGCCATACGATTAAGATCCATATGATTAAGTCTCCTAATTGGGGTTTGTATCTGTCTTCTAATCACACTAAGGTGAGATTCTTCCATATTTTCTACAATAGGCGTGCTATTCCAACTCCCCCCCCCCAGTCATTCTTAATCCTATATTATTTGTTGTCCAAAGCAACATTCTCATCGTTGTTACATTGAGTTTATTCTCTTGATGACTTTTACCCAGCATTTAGTTTCACACAAAATCGTAAACCTTTACCTTAGGTGAAGCAGTGCGTTTTAGTCACATATAACAGTTAGGTTGTTTTCATCCACCCTGTTCGAGTTTTATTGGTGAATTGCGACCCCCTTTTAGCTCTCCATTGTTTTTTGTAGTTGACCCAAGATATTTAAGCTATGTACCTTGTGACAAGGTGCGATCTCCAATTTCCACTAGTTACTAAATACAGTGGTGAAATGTTAAGATTTCATGTGTGGTAGTCATCCCTCTAATATACTTTGCTCCACTGTTGTGTAAGATGGTTGATCTAAGATATTTAAACTACGTAACTCGTGATAAGGAATGGTCTCCATTTTCTTATTAAGTACAGTGGCTAATTATGAAGATTTAATTGGTAGTTATTCCTTTATTTTCCCTGGTCCAAGCAAAATCCTAAATTTTGATGTTTAGACCTGTGAAGCGTAGAAGCGAAGAAAATCTGAGTGCTTCTCATAGATTATAGTGCAATCCTTATGCTTTCCACAAGGTACATAGAGTACCTGCGGTAAGCCTTTTTTGGTGGGATATCAATTTCAATGAATTTCCATATTTGGTTTTGTATTTATCCTGATGCCATGGTTTTCTTGATATCTTTTTTTGTTCTGGGAATTTCACATTACCATTGTCAACATCTTTACTGGTTGAAATGCTTTGCCCGGGGCTGCATGTTATTCTTAATAGATAGATAGTGTGAATTTCTGTTGAATTTTTTCTGACCTGTATGATATGTGGCATTGCAGAAGGAGTGGAGAGATAGGAGAGATGATTTCAAGAAAAAGGTGAGCCGATGCGTAAGGAAGTCACAAGAAATGTTATGATATGTGGGCGACCCCTCGTACTACTTTTGTGAACTGGAGGACAATATGATGTGTAATGGATTGGTTCACCTGTTACTGTTGCTGCGTATAAGAATGGCATTGGAACTTGTCCACATTCCTCCTTTCTTCAGTTCCGTGTTCTGTGCATGGCCATTTGTCAAAACTTGGAAAACAAACTGTATTCTAAGTGCTTTGGCCGGTCTTTGACTTCTTTATTGGAAATTTACTTTGTTCATTTGCACAAGTTTATATTTGGATTTCAAATCTTAAAAAAAGGTTTATATTTAAGCTTAGATTTTGCACTGGCCGTTACTAGCTCTCAAGATGTTGGTTCTAATTGGTTGAATTTGCTTGATTGATAATACATGAATCCCGAAGAAAGTGCTTTTAATGGTCAAAATTCTCCCAATTTTTGTTATATTATTCCTTCTGTAATCTCAAACTAGGAATACGTAATCTTCTAGCCTCAGTATGGTTCATCTAGATATTGACCAAAACAAAAGTTATGGCTCGTCTAAACATAATTTAGTCACGTAGTACTTCCGTCTACAGAATTAAGGTTCTAATGAAGTAGCAAATGGTAACATTACTGGGCTGTAGTGCTACGTTTTGGAATCACGTACACCACACATTAGCATAAACATTGTCTAGTGATTCAAGAATCCTCTCAATCCGTATCAAACCGCACATTAACAACAAACATTTAACAATGTTACCCATTAAATATTATCAACATTATAAAATGTCGTATATATTGTTATATGATATTTCTTTATATGCTAGATTAAATTAATTAGTGTAAATTTGAAGGATGAAATTCCATGAATAATAAGAACAGACACGGTAAGAACAGAAAATGTTGTTATTCGCACTTCCCTTCGTTTTCTCTAATTTCTTTTCATTATTCCATCGCTTCTCTACCAAATCTCTCATTTATAAAAAAAAAAAAAAGAAGAAAAGAAGACATTTTGTATCATTCAGTTGAATCATTTACAAGGAAGTGTCCACAAGTGAGAAAAATTCAAAATCCATTTATTGTACCGTTTAGTGGATGGTAATTTTATTCTTTAGTGACGGAAAATACACTTATCTAACAAAGATTAATGTAAAATGCATAATATTTCCCAGTTTCTTGTAAAACGAATGGACAACTATTTGGGTGGGTTGACATGGCTTCCCATTCTGACGACATTGCCATCAATATCTCTGACATACCCAACCTTCTGCCCCCACTCCTTCACCTCAGGCTCCCTCACCACCACCGCTCCATTCTCCACCGCACACTGATCCATTAAATCCAAAAATCGATCAACAAAACCCAACCAACACACATTATATTAGTTATATATATAGATATGGACTAACAAATAATTAACAACATAAAAATACATGTTACCTTATAAGCAACATCAACGTCGGAGTAAACGAAACAAACCTCCATGGGTGGTCTTTCTCGATCAGATCCAGGGTTGTGGACCGTACCGGTCAGATTATCGGTCTCGTGCTGGTGAATTGGAGTGAAAGCGATAGTTGTGCTCCCCGATTCCAACTCTCCCCATCTAAATTCAAATTAATTAAATTCAAATCTTCCTCCAATTCGTAAGTTAATTCTGGATATATGAAGATATATAATGATGTATATATATTAACCTGTGAGACTCGTCTAAGCGACGAACGGCATAGCCGAAAGCTTTGGCGTAGAAAGCCACCGAGGCGGCTACGTCTTTCACGTAAAGCACCACGTACCCAAAAGCCGGTTTCGAAGCCATTGACAGTAATTGATGTGCGATCGATCTCTCTTCAATCTCACACCCTCGCTCGCACTCGTGCTTTTATTCTCCGTGTCTCGTTAGTCGAGTGGAGTGAGTCAATTTTCATGCACGTGGCAGTTCATATGAGACCTGCACGTGGAGTTCATGCACCTTCCCATGTTGTCAATTTTCAATGTAATTACAATTTTATCGAAGAACATAGATTAATGACTCTCATTTCAAATGTTGTTCAACATTTTACTTCTCTGAAAAAAATAATAATCAAGAATTGTAATAATGTTTTTGTTTACTTCAATAAATTTCTATTTTATCGTTTTCATTTCTACCTCAATATATATATATATATATATATATATATATATATATATATATATATAAATACGAAATTAAATAAAAAGTAAAATATAAATAATATAAAAATAATTAAATTTATTTTAAATTTTAAGATGATAATTAAATAAAAATGTTGGATTTTTTTAAGGCTATAATCTTTTTCGACTCAGGACGAAGGAAGAATATTTGAAAATAATTCTTAAATAATTAAGTTAATATGACTTATTAAATCTAAAATTATAGATATAAAAATTTTTATAAATTAAAAGTGTAAAATTCAAAAAGATAGGATATTTCATCCCTATTTTATTATATATGTACTTGAATATATTGAATAGTTCTTAGTATATCAAATGGTATCAAGATACCGGTTCAAATATCTTGATCATTCACGTTATACCCTTATTCTCGAAGTTGGGTGGGTATACAAGCTCTCTGAGCTTGAAGTCCAAGTATATTGTAGATGTGATATTTTAGTGAAGGGTGAGTATAGCGATGTCTCTTATAAGTTTTTTGAATATTCATTTTATTAGTTGTTGATAAGTGGTACATGCATTCTTTAATATGAAAGACATAACTTTGTAGTAGTAATCTAGCCCTCTGCGATAAAGGTTGTATTTTCTTCATCTGACAGGTACATTCGTATATGGTTGTACCCAGAATATGCTCATAAGGGATCTTTTAGACATACTTTATTGAACTCAGTGTAATCGGTGCATATTTTCTATTTTCCACTTGTTTTTTTTTTACTACATTTCCAACCATGTAGTATATGGCACATTTCACATGAAGTTTACTTGTAACAACTTGTTGGCTTCTTATTGTATCGCTTGTCTTCTTTCCTCTCTTAACTTACATTTTTGTTAAATTATAGGCTTAGCTTTAGGCAAAATTGATAACTTGTGAGAAATAATGTTAGGATTAATACCTATCATGTTAGCTACGTTCCATGTGAATAAATCGACACTTTTGACAAGAATTTCCTCGATTTATTTGTGAATGGTCATGTCGACAGTGTGCTCAATGTGTGTAATCTAGGATATGTCTCTTGTGATTTGAAAATCTAATATATCCTCCTCAAAAGTAGGTTGTGTCCTATCTACTTCTATTCATGAATCAAGATCAACCTACTCCATGCTTTTCTTCTGCTAGTGGTAGCATCTGAAATATCTATAACAATTACCTATATCATATTGTTTTGAATCAATTTACTAACAACATCAACAATAAACTATATTTATTGCTTAAGTTTCTATATGAATTCATTACATCGATAGTAAGTCAAATCCTAATATTTTTTGGATCATTACTTCAATTTAGGAACATGAAATCATTTTTTTTTCATTACAAAAAATTTGCCAGATGTTTTTGTTGACTAACATTTTTATGCTCATTTACATGTCATCTGACGAGTTTTTCTTCATTTGCATTGGTGAACATCCTTTTTCAATCTTGGAATTTAAAGAAGATGCTACAACATCTTTGTAGGTGGGCCCTTCCTAACAACATATCTATAATCATCACCTCCCTACTTGTATCATGATACCCCACACTGTGGACAAGGATGTATTTGGTCAGATTCTTTCCTACATATGCGTGAATTGTTTATTACTCCATACATATCAGACATAATCATTTTTGCATCATAATTACTTGTCAACATTGTGTTACCTTAAGGAAGTATGTCATTGAACAACTTAAGTAATTCTATGAAGTTTTCATCAATCCATCAATTTTTTGCGTTCATGTTAAACAATTTTAATATACTAGTATAAAAGAGACTTTTTACGTTTGTTATTTTGGGCTTTTTACACTAAACTAAGGTATGTCATCAATGTAAGAGACATAAATTACGTCAAACAAAATAACAAACATCAATTTACATCAAACATATAGATAATCAACATCAATTTATGTCAAGCAGCTAAAGGACCACAGTAAAATGATTCAAGAAAAAAAATGCAAAATTTATGTCAAGTTTGCCTATACCTAACATAAATTTATGTGAGGCCCCACATTAACCGAAAACAAATAAAATACATTTTTTTAATATTAGGAAAATTTGTATAATAATAAATAATGTAACAATATATATTACACTTATATTATATATATATATATATATATATATATATATATATATTACTTCTACCAAAAATTTAGTTGAAAATATTTCTTTAGTTATACAAATATATTAATATAGAGATGTTAGAATTTAATGGTATCAAAATAATGTTTCATTGAGACATGTGAAATGAGTCCATCATAAGATTTTATCATAATTCTCTAAAGGTTATAAACTAGAAAAGATTAAATTGTGTATTAAAGAATTGAAAAAAATATTGAGTGATGAACTATTCTCACAACCAAAAGGTGAATTATGTTATATTTATGTCAATAGGAAAATTTGAATATTGGTGGGATAATACCATGAGATTACTAGAAGGATGAAGAATAATCAATATTTAGGAAGTGTTTAAAAAAAATTTAGAAAAATATTTTCCCAATGATGTGAGAAGAGTGTTAAGTGGCAAAAATTGATGTAATTATGCTTTTAATTGTTATTTAACCACTTAAATTATGTTGATTCTAATTAATTTTTCTCCCAATGTATGATAAATTTTCAAAATATCTAGGTACAAGAGCAAAGATCATAATTCTCAAGTTAATTGAAGAAAAATTGGAAAAAGAAGATTTTTAGCCTAAGATTCGCTCGAGCGAGACAGATGCTTGCTTGAGCGAAAATACGTTAAAGCTCTCGGAAATTCAATCGCTCAAGCGAACAATTCTTGCTTGAGTGAAAATCATCATTATTCGCTTGAGCGAATGACGCGAAATTTTTCTATAAAAAGATAAGATGTGTTTTGAGAAAGAGAGTTGGGGGTTTTGAAAAGAAAGGCGCGGCAGCTGATCGAGTTTTCGTCCAATTTTCAATTCATCTTCAATTGTTCTTCATTTGGATCATTGTAATGACCATCATGAGTGACTAACTTCATTCTCTTAGGATTGAGTGCACTTCATTTGAACTTTTTTATATCTTGGTGATATTTTGAGATATTCATCTATGTTCTTGATGTTGTTATTCTCATCCTTTGTGCCTGTTAATGTTTTTATCCTAGATGTTCATATATATTGGAAAATATATCTTCAAACCCTTGATTAGGTTCAGAATATTTGATACGTTGATTGCTAAGAATAATAATGGATGTATTGAGTGCTTCATACCCTAAACCTAATGCTGTAAAATCTATTGAATGTATGAGGAATCTATATTTACAAGGTTTTCTTATGAATTTCATGTTTGAGGAATCAATGTGAATAATTTGAGTAGGTGACATCAACATTGATAGGTTAATTGATGTTATTAATTTGACCTAGCCAATATACAAAAGAGGGAAAAAGAAGTAAATCAATCCTAAGTTCTCAAATTACATCTTTTCTAAATACATTTTATAGTTTTTTACTGTTTGTTTTCAATCCAAAAGTTTATGAAAAGCCCATTTTATGTTAGTAAGCATATGATTCAGAATTTCTAGCGAAACTATTTCTCGTGGGATTGAATTTTATTTAATTGAAATAATGTACTGCGATTGATAATATTGATACGCTTGCCAAAAGAACAACAGAGAGCAAAAGAAATAAAATTTATGCAATTACAACAAAGGGGTATGATAGTAGGAGAATATGTCCCTAAGTTTGAAGAGTTATGGAAATGCTCTACATTTTTTTATCACCTTGTATGAAAGAATGAAGTTTATAAAATTTGATAATAAACTTAGGTCTAAATTGAGAAAAACAATGAGAATATTAGAAATTTCTTATTTTCTTATGCTTGTTCACAAATTTTGATTTTTAGAGAATTTTCAAAACAGTCAATATAATAAACCAAAATATTTTGAACCCTAGTCAATATAAGAAGCACATAAAAACAAATTGAGCATACATCTAGCCACAACAAATATGTACCAAGATCTTAAGAAAATGTTTTAGTGGTCCAAGATGAAGAAGGAAGTAACACAATATGTAACAACATGTTTAATTTTTCAAAAATCTAAAATAGAACACCAAAAAATAGTAAAAATGCTACAATCCTTTGATATACTTAAATGAAAATGGGTAGTATAACACTATATTTTGTAGTTAACTTACTATGAACAATTCAAAAATTTAATTTCATATGGTTATCGTGGATAAGTTGACAAAGTCTGCTCACTTCTTACACATTAACATTAGGTGTTCATTGAAGAAACTAATCGCATTGAACATAAGAGAAATTGTGAGGTTGATGGAGTTCTAGCTAGTATTATATCTGATACAGATCCAATGTTTACTTTTAAATTTTGGGTGTGTTTACATCAAACTTTAGGGACTAAACTTCCTCTTAATTCAACTTATCATCCACAAACTAATGAACAATCAGAAATGACCATTTATTTCCCGAAAGATTTATTAAGAGTTTATGTGCTAGATAATTGTGGTAGTTAAGATCGATACTTGCCATTAATTAAATTCACTTACAACAATATTTTTTATTCTAACATAGGTATAACATCATACGAGGTATTATATAAGAGAAAATGTAGAACATTTTTATGCTTATTTAAGACGGGAAAATTTTTAATCTTAGGTCTTGACATAATTCAACATACCACAAAGAAAATCAA